GCTGGCGTGTCCAGGCCGGAGAGTAACGCTTCCTTCGCGGCGGTCCACTCCAACTTGACCGGACCTCTTCGCGCCACCTCCAGAACCGCCTTCGCCCTGCCCTTGAGGAGACTCCGCAGGGCTGCCATCTTCGCCCGGTCCGTCTTCAGTCCTACCGCATCTGCCACCTCCTCGAAATCCTCCAAAAACACCTTCACATCCTCGTCTTCAAATGGCTCCGGCCAGAGGATCTTCATGGGTTTTGAGGTCACGGCACCAAATGTTAGAACCCGTGGCAGGCGGTAATTGTTTATTACTAAAGTGGCTTATACTAGGTGTGTTCGTTCATACATTGGATGCGTCCACTCATCTGCGTGATTTCCATACAGTTACTTTGGAGGGATCCGCTCATCCGCGTGATTTCCATAGAGTGTTCCCCAACTGGTGCTCGTCTCTGTGTTTACTCCTCGTGCACATGGAACTGGAATCCTGAGGTCATCTTCAACTTTGGGGAAGTCGGCAAGGCTCGCTGTTGGTGTGTCAGCTTGCATCACACTACTTATTTCCGTTTCAGTAGTATCTACCTTCAATCCACCACAATATGACTCGGGAGCTTAGCGACCTTTCAGTGCGGACAGTTTATTAAAGTGACCATGAGTAGTCGCGTACTAGCAGGCCAGTTTATCCTTCTCTAGGTCTTCAAAGGACCAAAGGAACCAAGCGCGGGAGAACGCTGACCGATAAGAGGGCAGCATTTCTTTTTCTGTGCTAGGATAAGGACACCTTGTCTGAAATTGCTTTTGCCAATGAGCTTCCCAATCTTCGTTTAGACTTACACCAGCGTCAAATAAAGCAGCAGTCAATTTACGATATTGCATCATCGTCGGCACACTTTCTGCTTTATCGGCTTTGATGCTTGAACTTTGCAACTTTTATGCGACCTTTAATTGAGGTTCAGAATGAATAACTTCGAATTTCTCCGCCATCGACCCAAAACTATTTTGTTTTTTGCACTTTCTGAACCTCAATTTAGGATTATATGGCCGCATCATTTAAAATTCGGTGAGAGACGTATCCTGGTGCGTAGTAACAACAGAACATTATGCGAAGAAAGTACAACATGAATAAACCACCACTGTTTTAATTCGTGGTTTCCGGCCTGTTGGACACCATTAGAAGGAGTATCTAGCAAGCCATGTAAATATATTTGTTTAGGCCGTCCTGCTTTTTGTGTCTCTCTTTGATGTTTATTAAGAGTGTCGTGCAGTCTAAGAGACATAAGTATAGATGCCTAGTACATAGAATCCGTGGCTAAACGCCCTTACGGAGAGCCCCATGTTTTCCTACATTGGTGGAAGATTGTAGGGTTACTCGGATAATTCTGTGTTCTCCGTAGTGTGGCTTGTTTTTATGAAAAGTGCTTACTTCTAGGTTTATGGGCATAGCTTTCACAGACATCAACATGCACAATGATGTTCAGTGATGTCGGTCGGACAATAAAATACCCCACAATGTGATGGCGGTAGAGTGGGGGACATTTGAGCATGCAATAGTCAGGTAAGTAATGTTGGATCCCTGTTTTAGTTAATCTATAAAGTAGGGTAAAACTTTCTCCTTACCTACTGACAAATGTTGGTTGCTTGCTTTTTGCCCCTCTATTCACGTTGAGAGTTTTTAAAACAGAAGTGGCCGCAACGGCGATATTTCGATTGACCGTTGCAGCAATGGCTGCATTTATAAATGACGTTTCAGGGGCCTAGTCTCGACAACAGTCATTTGAGCTACAGGAATAGAAGCTTGGTATTCGTCTGCTTGATCCTTGGTAATGCAAGCGGTCAGGTATAGTAGAATTTGTTTAACCAGACGTTTTAATTAGGGCTTGATATTCAATCATATGAGTAGTGTTAGAGTATCTTAAGTAAGGTCCGTTTCCACCCGGCCTTCTGCCAAATCTGTGGAAGAAAGCGGAGATGGGGATGTAGTGGATTACGGCTCAGGTTAGCATATTGTGCAGCATTTCGTTGCTTAGAAGCCGCTACGCTTCTCTTGTGCGTACTCTCTTCCATTAAAGTAATCTTATCTTTTATCTTCTGCTTGGCTTTTGCGGTTAACCGGTAGCAATTTGGACTACGATAAGCAAGCTGGTAACGTGGGGAGGTTTGAGCATGCAGTACAGAACCGAAGCGTGTTTTGTTAGCAAGTTCGCTCTCACACAACTTGTTTGAACACGTTTGCACATTGCGGATGATAGGAGCCCAAACAATGTGAGCAAGCCAATCCTATATTAATAAACCAAGGACATTCTCCTATCCCGCAAGTGCCTTTTGCTTGGAGCCTTTACTGTTTTGCATTTCAGCTGCTCAACATGTTGTCGTTAGCTGACCCAGTGGGTTGGTTGGCGTTCTGTAGTTTTCCAGCTTTGATAGCTGCGCGCCTCTTTCATGTGGGCTTGGTTGTTTCAAGGTCAAAAGGTGATGGGCGTAGCCACGGTTCCGTGTGATGTAACACAAGCACACTGGCTGACAACGCCACAAGAAATGACGAGTGACTGGAACCTGCTAAATGAATATGGACACCGCAATGAACACAGCTTGAGAGCCCACAAGTTCTTTCACAGCCGCTTTTAGAAACGCTTTTCGGACTGTGCCGATAACACACTAAAGAACGGTATCAAACAGAAAGGTAATCAGATCACTGTGAGAGAAATTTTTACTGGCGCTTATCACAGATGCCAATACAACGGTTAGTGACGACTCGGTCTTTAAGCGTAGAAGATAATTCTACCTAAGTTGGAAAAAACTTTAGGGCTAGTAAAATCAGTTCGAATGACCGTACAGGAACAACGCTGCAAGCAGGTGGAGAGAGAGTAGAGAGGAATGAAGCAAATGATCAAAGAGCACGCACGTCACAAGTGTGTATGAAGGACCTCGACGCTAGAATGAAGAACAATTAGCTTTTTACTGAGCAACCCTAGAGTGCTCTTAGTGTTTATTCTCGGATAAGCTCAACTCATCAAAAAAGCTGTGAAAAGTATCACCCACCCACTGCTGTGCGAATATGTAATGCGTGAATAAGCAAAAACTGGTGTTGTCGGAAAATTACGAAACCCCGAAATTTTAATGGCGTGAACGTGGACAAAGTTCCCTTTACTTACAGAGCTAACAAAGCGTATGAATAACGAAAAAACTTTTCACCGATTCGATCTTCGAAGATAAAAAGAGCAAGGCCAATCTGTCTAAAAAGTTATGTTGCCCTTGGATAATTGCACAGCACATTCACAGGAAGAAGGCCGAATAAACCTTTAAATAGAAAATCCGCTGATAAACACGACCCATGGGCGGATGTGAAGATTATTCTGAAAATCTGTTACAGTGAGGAAATTGTGAACTGAATTCTTTACCACATCGGAAACAAAGTGCTACCTGGCTCGTCGTCAGCAGTGAATGTCAGCGCCAAGCTTTCTGCGCTCGTTGTAATTCAGTTCGCTGCAAAAAAAGTTTTTGACGGTTTACCGGTGAAAGGATGTATGTTTACTTTCTACATGCTGGCTTCAGGCGCCTGGCATTCGATGCACTTTCAATTGACGCCGTCATCGCTAAGGACAAGGTCCGCGCTTGCAAATCCAACTGATCAATGCAGAAGAGCTCGTCGCCACTGACAAGTTTGTGCAATGTACCTTAGATGTGACAAAGTTTGATGCTTCAATCGTCAGTGAAATTTTGAAGACATATAGAACAGACGGAAGGCAGCGACTAGGAGGATGACATGTCAGATACCTCCGTGGGTAACAGCAATCAGCGCGCGTTGCATTCAAGAGCAAAGAACTGTATGAATGATCTATATAGCTACCAACGTTTGCATGGGCTGGGCGACTATTGCTTATCCAAATTGGACACAGTCATTGCAAAATTGACTACCTTAGGAGCTCTAAGTAATATGTAACTGAAGTTGGATTGCATCTTAACAATAATATAAGTAACACCAGACCATTTATCCAGGTAAGATTAATTATATCTAAGTAAGCAATCCGTTAGACCTATGCACACTTAACTAGTCGGAAAACCTTGTGAAATAACAGTTGCGACAGGAGTTGCTTGCGGCAGTTCACTGAGTTTATGTAGCTGCTTTATGCTGCAGCAACCTTTTACCGAGTTGTATCACATAAATATAAAAATTTATTGGGGAGCAGTTTAAGCGTAGTAAACGTAATATAATATATAACTTGCACAAGCTGTTCTACCAACGTTACTAACAGTTTTCTGAATAAATCGATGTTACCTCATGTTTCACTAAGGCTTCGTGTGGATGCTTTGAAGCCGTGCACGGATTGATAAATTGTTCAATTGTTTTAGTTATAACAGCTAGAGTAGGTGTATCTGTTACGGCATTTGTGGAATGTCGCTTGGTAAACCCATAGAATTTGTTGACGGTCTGGAATTTGATACTTGTAAAATAAAAAAATTAACTATGCTCTAGCAGCCAAAATCAACTAATAAATTTTATTTTAAATTGAACAAATGTTGAAAAGCAGATGTGCGATATTTTAAGTAAACTTAATGAAGCAAATTACCTCGTGATTTTCAATTTCTTCTTATAGAACTGCAGGATAGGACAAGTAAAATCAGTTGCGTAGCAAAAATCCAGTATTTAACCACAAAGATTCAAACATTACCATTTGAATCGTCAAGAAAAGGTTTATTTGAAAAACACTACGGCGTTGCAGCATTTAGGCCATTAGTATATGCTGTAGTTGTTAAAGTATTTGATGTCCCAGTCTGTTATTCAGTGATTTCTTTGATTTGATCGTGTCCACCAACTAAATGGAAGTAAGCAGTAGCTTGCCTTTATATAGTTTGAAATTCCACTTGAGAAGATTCGGTTACATTTCTAGCTAGATTCGCGCGCTTTGTTCATTAAACGCAAGTTAAGGTCACTAATGCACCGGTGTGTATATCATTCTAAAATTCCATCTATTCGTGATTTTATTTGTGTTTTCGTAACACAATTCATTTTTGTTGTAGAACCAAGTAACTATGATTGGCCTGAACGTGGATACTGTGAGTTTGCAGAGATTAGTTCACTAATTTCCAATTTCCGAAAGCTCTTAAACTTGCATCGGAATATCAATATTCTGGGTTAAATGTGCATCCGTTGAGTCGCTGTCTTAGCTAGAAAGCTTGCTGGGAAATAATTTCGTAGCTAGTTGGGTTAGCGTAAAAGTTGCAGGATTGCTGAAAGTTTCGCTATATGTATTGTCAAAAATAAATTGTATGGATATTTGTCACCGGCGGATGCTGTATTCCACAGGTAGCCCGCCATCAATCATAAATTATCTTTCGGCCGGTTGGTCGAAAGTAGAGTTAGGCATCCGAAATTGGGTACGAATCATTGGCCACTAAATGGCCTTAACTGTCTTTGTTATTGACATGCATAGTTTTATGCAACTGATACAATGTAGGAAACTTTTAATAACGCCGGATGATTTGCATGTTTATCTTCCGATATAAAGAAATGTTATCCTTACCAGAAATCTATAAAAACCACAGTGCATTAGAAGGTGAAATCCAACCCCCAACTTGGTCTTTTGCCAATTTTGTAACGTGCCAAATCCGACCAGCAATTTGTGCGTCACCTCAATTGATCACGAATAGATTACCGACAATAAATTCAACAGATAACGCAAGATGATAAATGATAAATGATAAATGTTATATTCCTCGGTGTTTCGAGGTGCAGTCCAACTATGTGGTCTGATCAATGTGTACAACAAGATCGCAAAAATATAATCAATTTGTTCACGCTTTTTACAGTGGATCCAAAAACAGATACTAAACTAATTGGCAGGATTAAGACATTAAAGAAATTAAAAAGCAGGAACAATAACGTAAGCAAATTTAAACAGATGTCCAGTTAAAGTAATACGGCCACTCGTGGAACCATCCCCAGGGGACCTGCTTCCATGCAAGGTATTCCCTCGAAAGGTTTCGCTCGCACTTCCATGCAATAACTGGCCGTGTGCCGGTGTGGCATAGTAGCATATGAGCCATCACCTGTATATCATATGTTTTGTTCATTTTAGAGCTGTTTTTGAACATGTATTATGGGCCATGAAGGCTCAGCCCAGTCCGTCATGCGGATCATTCTATTATGGCACTTTTTTATACGCCAGACAGTTGGTGGCAATTTGCCTTGCATAGGTAACGTCTTTTATAATCTGGAAGCTGTAATCCGTCACCACAGGAGATCAGCCCAGTCGTGGCCAACTATGAAATAAGGAAGAATATAGAAAAGAAGAATTCTATGAAAGAGGTACCATATCGTTAATGTAAGAAATAGGCAGGTATGTTTTGTACATCGGCGTAGAAATCGATCGAGCCGATCATACGATAAAGTGTGTAGCGTGACACCCGGAGACAGATGACTGTACAAGTTGTCCATAGGCAAAAGTCGCGTAGGGAATCAGTTATTGCCATAGTTGAATTCAAGTATATGTTTCTGGACTGTTAGTTTCAGAAAAGAGGGGGAAATGATTAGCACTGGAGAACAAATGTAGCGAAAGGGATCGCAGAACAATATCACGAATTAATCAATTTGCGGGGAAAATTACGAAAATAGCTCCTGACGTCACATCAGTAAATAATTTTGCTCTCGGTTTTAAACAGAAGACAGCTGATATGAATTAAGTTTAAAGGGAGTAAAACCGCATGGAATGTAGCGTTAAGGAATAGCATAAGAAGCGGTTTGTATCAGCTCATCCTAGCTGATCAAGTTTTCTCTGGTGCAGTAGAGTTGATGTTCTCCGGTATCATACATGATCCGGCCCTTCTTCATACAGTTTTTCATCATCAAATTGAATGTTTAAGATCCATTTCGCTCTGTCCGTTGACAGATAAGCCTTTATCATTTTCTTGAACATGCAGAAATGTTCAATACATCTAATTTCTTTTGGCAGCTTATTCCAAATGGAGCCATACCTAAGAAGATAGAAATTTCTCCTTAGACTGCTCTTGAATTTAGGTAAATAGAATATGCATTCTTTATCTCGCAATTCATAAGTGGTGCTTTGCATAGTCGCCACCTACACATGAATAAGACAGCAATACCTAAGGTCGCATTTGCAATTCAACTGTTAACGGAAGTAGTTCCTAGAAGTACTTCTCAAAAGGACCGCATTCGATTTGGAGGTGGTACGGTGCTGCTTCTCTCAAGACTGACACTCTGTAAACGCTTTTCTCCTCAATTAGACTCATCAGATTGATATAGCCCAAACTGAGATGGAAGTCGGGGTATAAAGTTGAACGCTGAATAAGGTTTTCATCCCAACTGTTCACCAGCTAGTGGTCGTGGGTTTGATCCTCCTTAGAGGACCGAGGGAATGCACGCCACTGACGAGCCCCATTAGGGCGAAACGCGCCTGGCGCTTTTCCGGACTAGGCTTTGCTATGTATCTTGTGAACTGTTTGGATGAAAGCCTTATCAGCTTTACAACTGAAATTCTGCTAATAATGAGTACTATGAAGGCTGAATATTTGATCACTAGGGTTCTAGGATCCGCCGTCAACGCTTAACACAGCGGTGAGGAATTGGGAGTTGGATTTGCATTGCATGAAATGCAGTTGAATAGCGACAGGCAATTTTTATTCAGACGTCGGCTCAAGTTGACCTAGATCTTGGCCATAACGCTCAACTGGACCGCACCTACATTGGAAGTGGCAGTGTGCTTGACAGAATGGTAAGTTGCATTCAATCATGACAATAATGAACTTTATTCAATGAAAACCTAGTAGAAAACCGAACGCACGATCCCATAATATATTGAAATACTTTTCATAAAAGCCAGCAACATCGTAATAGGTGAAGCCATTATAAGTGTGCAAATGTTTACTAAAGAAAAAGATTAACAAAAGTTTGAATCAAAAGTCTGCATTCAAGGATTCGTACGGATTACGTAGACAAGCCAATCGATTGTACTGCTTAAGATGTACAGCTGACATTGGAGAAAACAGGTTGTACTAGATAATTGAGCAATTTTTTAACACATATAAAAGCTAATACTTGGCACATCCGGTAAGATGATTAGCGTGAAAACTTCAAAATAAAGCTCGACTTTCGCAATAGATTGCGCGTTACACATGACCTAAAAAGTGGGAGACCTCCACTCCTTTGAGAAATGGTGTGACACATAGATGATGAGGTTCTCAGCGAAAAATCTAGAAGAGTATATAGCAGATGTACGATACAGAGGGATCAATTGCACTCAAAGGCGAACACCTTTGTGTACATCTGTCTAACTGCAAACTTCTTATCAGGTACTCTGGAACGTACAACTTATCCAAACAAGCGGAATACCAGCTAGCTAGGGTCAACAAATCAATGGCTAATATCTTACATAAGATCCGATAACCACAGTCAGAGCAGAACCTTTCAAACTCCTCACTTGGCCCGTTTTGAAATAACGCACTATCAATTTTGGCTGAATGAGGAAACCTGACGGCATATCTTTAGAAACCATACAGATGTCATTTACCAAACATTTGCTGCGCAAAACATCTACTAAAAATTATCGGAAGCGCTGCCAACCATCCAGCTCGATGCGATTTGACTAAAAAAGATTGAGACATAATCTGATGCTTCTGCAAAACATGATTCAACAAAATGTTTATTATATTTGCCCTCCTTAGAACTACAACATAGTGAGACAAAGTTGTTACGCAATAAGGCGTCTACCCTGAGTGTAACTAGATGCAGGTAAATCTGCGGTCTAACGTTTCTCCTTATAAATGTGCTGTCCTGTGCATAATGTCACAGTCAAAATCAAATCGTATGGGAGTGCAACGGCATTTCGCGTTAAGCGCACCAAGTAACTAGATTTAAACAAGATTAGAACTATGTTCTCCTGGGGGAGAGATTCCTTGATGGTTTGTACTAAGAAGGGCCAGACAACATCCAATCAGTGAAACAAAAATTGTTTCGGACTGTGTGACGCAACCCTAGCACATTCACATTCTTGCCACAGGTGATTTCAAAATACACTGCTTAGAATCTCCTGCTTCAATCGGATAGCGATTCAAAGCAGATCAGCCCGAGATTAATACCAGTGTTTCACTTTACCGTCACGGCATTATGCCCGCGCCTTTAAGCACAGGTAATAAACCAGCATTGCAGGATCTTGGTTCCACCAACGAGGAACATATATTTGATGAACTGATTGCAGCATGCTCTTTGGATGATAGGGATCGTGCAGTCTACTTCATCTGCTATACGGATTATGGTCACCAGAACACCGAGATGGGGCGCACCATTACACTTTATGATTGCTTGGCGAAGCTCGTCTGTGCCACAACCTGTTTGTTGCTCGCTCCTCGTCAAGCGGAAATCGCTTGGTTTGTAATAATCATCAAATTCAAGCAGCTGGTTACAGACGCCTCAGGGGCAAAGGTTTTCAAACGGCTCTTAACCGTTTTCTTTGCTTGGAACGGAACTACAAGACGGATGACGATACGTAACACAGTCTGGTGAGACTACAGTTCATCAACAACGGCATGTAATTGTAACAACTAGGTAGCCCATCGTAACCACAACACCTAACCGCTCAGAGATACCGAAGTTGCTTATCAGCAAAAAATTGAGAAAGATTTCAGCGCTAATCACAAACTGCTGTACAAGCAATTCATTAGCCGAGGTAAGGTAAGTCAGGGAATTCCTCCACTCCGGACGACTGATGGTCTAACTAGAACAATCATAGAAGCAGTAAACACCTCGCGTACGCCATATGCTCCCACATTTTAGCGGGTATTATCATCAGGCCATCTACCAACATTTGTTTTTCTGCCTTCAATACGCACCGACATCTCTTTTACTGCTGAAGTGATATGGCAGTCGCTGACGTCTTTATGCAACCACAGCACCCCGGGAGTCAACAACACTCGCCCAGAAGCCTTGGGAGCAGCAGCTAAATAACTAGCAAAACATTTGGCCCAGTTCTTTCAGCACAATTTAGACTAGAACCAGCTTACTGTAATGTGGAAGTTTGGAATAATAACTCATTTTCATAAAGGTGAATGTAGTCTGAGATCTCATACTAATGCGCAGTGTCCCATATCCCTATGTTTCAAAGGTCATGGGAAATATCGTTGCCGATGCGCTGGTGTGTGCATGCTTAACGAATTTATTAATCGCATGGGAGTTGGACTCAGCTGATGCTGGAATGGCCGTTGATGTGATCTACTTTGAGTTGTAGAAGGTATCATCAGATACTTCTTTCCAAATTTTCTTATTATGGAATCATTTACCCTCTTTCGAGCTAAAAATGCCCACTTTCACAAACAACGAAAATTATTGGTCAAGCTCCAGAATTCTATATCTGGCCTCATACCAGTCGAGTCTGGTGTGCTCCCGGGCTCAGTTCTACGCCCACGATTGATTTTGGTATTCACCAATGACCTTGCACGGAACATCGCTTCAAATGCCCTACTATTTGCTGCCGAAATCAAGATATGGGGCCAGTTTCAGGCCGATGCTGATCTGAATTCAATTCAATATGGTATAGAGTGGTCAACCCAAAATATGCTACAATTCAAGGTGGACAAATGTAAGTATTCTCTATACAACCCCAGAGTATCTATGTTTACAGGTTTGGGACGCAAGCAGTGCAGCAATCGTCCGTCGAATGCGACTTGACCTGCTTGTTCAGGATAACTTGGGTTAAGCCAAGTAATCCGCAAAATCATTGAAAACTGGTAACCAAAACGTCGGCCCGATAGCACGTGCGTTCGGACAACTAAACACCACTAATTGCAGACAGATGCTGAAGGTGTATGTTCGTCCCCATGTCGAATACGCAATACAAGCCTGGAAGCCATGACTGAAGCACGACCTTACTGCACCGAACCAACCTCAAGCACGGGCTTCTAAATGCGTCATTGGATGGCGACACTTTCCATATCAGCAGAGGCCGAAACGCTTGGGAGTATCTGGCGTGTGTTATCCCCAAATACGAAGTGACTTTATAACGGCATAATTAGTTGTTCACCATCGAAATCATGTGCGTCGCTCATTACTGCAACTCACCGGTAAGACCCAAATTATAGCCCATCACCGGAAATTAGACGTAGAATAAAACCCTCTGAAGTATCGTAAAATTGTTCATACATATTTGTGTGTGTCAACCATGGAACGCTGTTCCTGAATCACTTGTTTCTGCAACCACGCTAGCCTTATTTATACGTCGGTTTGATAAAGTTCTCCGAAACTTTCTTTTTATTACTTAACACAGTTCTCCATCCTATACCCTGAAAATGCTTTGGATTTATTATTTTCTTCTATTGAAGCTTTTGCAACACTTAGAGGGCATGGCTTCTGCATTCTAAATGACCAGTTCCTCTTTTGAAATTAGAATTACTGTTTATTTTTTCATTAGCGTTATTTGAAAACCCACCAGACTAATCAAGGGAGTTAATATAGTGGTGCTTCTTAACCCGTATAAAATCTTTGTTCACTGTTCGCACCATCAAACATTTCAGCCCAGAAATTGGAGGCTGAAAGAGACATAAGCTCAAATATCTGTAAGAAATTGGTCACTTAGCCTCGCTTATCCAAAAGCATGAAGTGATTCTTGCTCTCTAAAATGTGATTACGACTGTTCCTAATATGCATATGTGTTACTCACTTCCCTTTAAAGAAAACGTTTGCCTTGCACTTGTACCATAAAAGCATAAATTTATATGGTTTTGGAAGCACATTTTTACAAGTCCTGTTGGGGGGTTCGGTGGGGCTATTGGAATATGATAATAAAACATTTGGTGTTCTAAATATAAAAAGAGGAAGTTATCATTTTTATGCTGTACTCCAGAAGTCTGAGTGTTTTCTGAGCAATCACAGGTATCAACTGTTAAGTTCAACCAGGATTCCAGGGTTAGGATGGGAACATAATGCTAAGTAACGAAGTGTACGTACATGAGTTCACCACTAAACAACCATTGAATATTAATATTTTCCGTGCAAAAACTACCGAATCGGAGGAGCCTCTCATAATTGAGATACGGGAATAGATAGAGTGGCACACATGATCAAGTTGTGTAAACTCAACTACGTCATTATTAGGTCGCCTCGTAATCTGCGATTTCGTCTGATGAATATTCCCACTCGTTTCAGCCTCTGCTGGTATTGGATGTGGTGCATTCCAATGAGGTTGAGACGGCTTCAGAGTACAAACGCCGTGTTCCGACTTTTGGTGCCAAACTTCATCGTGTATAATACCTGTGGGTTATTTACGCATTGAGCATCTGTATAAATTGTTTGGAAAAATCAACCAAGATGTCTGTTTGTCAGAACACCCGTCGCAATCACCTGACGTGTTGTTTACGTGCTTCGTTGCCTTTTAGACTGTATGGACTGTCTGAATCAGTACCTCCAGACCACGTTGGACAGAAGAATGCTGCAGTACTTGCGTCCTGACTATATACGATTAGTTGGTCTGGTTCTCTCTGCAGTTGACTGAAAGTTCCCAGTTTTCTATTCAACTATCATTGCCGAACTCCTGGTGCCTATTCCCTAAGTGATCGAAAACCAACCCTAGGCTCAATCTGACTCCTACATTATACATCAATATACTAGCAAAACTGATGCGTTATGTCGAATATACTACTAAACTATTGTCAAAACTATTAGTATGTTACTCTCCAACATCACTTTATATAGGTACGCACACTTGCATCAAGATATATATCGAAGTAGTCTCGGTCGAAGTTGTGCACCAAAGTATGAATGCTGGTGCATTCAGCAATTTTTATGTATTGCCTAATGAATACCCCGATTGGCCTTAGAATCTAATCTTAGTGACAGAAGAAGCCACTCCGATCACACTGACCTACACAGAAATATGCAAACAGAGGGCGCATATACAAGCCCTTCGTATGCCTTGGAGCTAAACTTATTTCAGTGAGCTTCCACACCACATACATGCGTGTATGTACCGTGGGGCTTGGATATATCGACTAATTTATCTTCTAAGACAGTTTACTTTGTGCCTCGTCGTGGTTCGACTCATATGTACCGCGCTTCACTAGGTTGTTTTTTCTAACCTTCTAGTTTTACTTACAAACTCCTAATGCATATGATAGAAAAGTGTACGTTCTGCAATCTAAAGCTACTCATATTCCAATGTTCCAAATTAGACAAGGACGTCAGTGGGACGCAATAAAAATGCAGGTGCAGGAGGAACCGACATCCCACATTTCTCCACGTTGGAAACAATACGTCATAAACACGCGTGTAACTGCTATGTCAGCACGATGTTTTCTGTGAAACAAGCTGATGTTGTTAGTGGCCACTGATTAATTTGGCGACTTTACGTTTGGTTGTGAATTTGACGATAGACTCAGACAGACTGTAATGTCACGGAATGGAGGTTGTTATTACATTAAGTGTGCGTCATTCAGCAACCTTGTTCCGGTCTCTCGCAGAATCTAGGGATTCATTGTTTCCCACATGCAAAGAATATTCAATAAAAAGTGAACTGGGATTATTTATTTTCAGCATTCAATGTGTACATATTGCGAAATATTAAAGTGGAACCAAAAACCATGGACATTTGCAGAGCGGTAAGCGAAACTACTTGGTAAATAAATATTGTCTATTTCTTGTTGCATTCCGCAATAATTACTTAACTTCTGACTGTGTATTAGAGTCGCCCACAGCTAACTGCACAATCCGTACTTTCAATTCAACAGATAAAAAAGAGATCGGAGTTGCAAATCAAGATATGTAATGTCACTACGTCGGAAGCCCCAAAAGTCGTACGAATCGTGACTGATGAAACCCAAGATGGTGTGTTGAATGTGATGACTCAACTCATGGAAGAGCTTAATGACGAAAATCCAATATCCTGTACCACCAACATAGCACTGCCGGTAATAAGCAAGAAGATTTCCGAGCCATAAACTTCACCGGGCTGTTCATTCGGTTTTGCTAAATATTATGAGCACGCCAACCTTGTCAAGAAGATACATGAAAAAACATTAACATTTGAAAATATCCACGTGATTAACTGTGCATCAGTGATGTTGCTTTTCTCTACACACATTTTATTATCAGCATTTTGATTTCTGTTTAGGCTTTTACTAACAAGTAACAACCTACTTCGATAATAATAACAAAACTAAGAAAACCGTGCCCAGTAGTTGTTCAAGCTTCATTGATTTTTCTGGGTTAGAAGACGATTGGGATAACTGGAGTTTAAATGATAATTCACGATACTGAAAAGCCCGATGGATTGACAGTGCAAGAAAAGTGTGTGGGATTGCTTATTAGCGAAAAACACAAAGTATGTGCGACTGTAACAAATCAAAGCAAAGTAGTAAAAGAAGCTGGCTGATTTCTGGGACGTTGCACTGTAACAAAGTGTAGTTAGCTCCCCTTGTTACATGAAGTTTGGAGGGACATAAATTTAACGCAATTGTTTTTGAACATTATCATGATAGATAAAAGAAAGGATAAGAAATATGCTAGACCAATTTTGTCAAGTTAAAGAAATCGGAATGCAAGGTTTGTATACAATAATCGTCGCATTTTCGCCTAAAATATTTGTCGCATTTTCACGTCTGCGACACGGTTATGTTTATGGGGTTCACCTCAATTACAGGTATCCCTAATATGTGTTCGCAGTTAATTGCGCCTCGTTGTGACAGAAAATTCTAAGTTATTTCATATGAATCCGTAATTCCACACGGATTGCAACGCACTTGAAATAAACCGGTCAAGTGCGTCTTTATTTCTTGTTATATCGCTCTCGTCTTCAAGACGTGTTACTATTCCAGGGTTATCGACAGCACCGACACCATATCCTCTAGCATCAATCGCACCTAACAATCAAAGTGAAGAACAGGGATATAGGTGGCATTTGCAGCACGCTGGTGAATTGATTGAGACATATAACTACGCAAAACAGGTCACTGCTGGGTAAGAAATGATAGCACACTTAACAGGACACAACAATTTGTCGTTCCACATGCAGGTTTTTGAATGGTTGTATAACTCAGACAGGGAAAGATCAGACAAGCGCTGGCACAACTTTTGTCAAGGATGTTCTGTACTCCATACTACAGCACATTTTCAAACTCCAATATCTTTTATGAAACCTAAACAAAAAGTATATATATGCATTACCAAATGACATATCTCTCCTAACCATCAGTAGGGTCATTGTTTTAACCTACGTTACCAATGTTTCCATGCCTTTTCCACCGGTTCGTCATCATGCCTTGTGCGTCTGGCTGAAACAAGTACAGGCTAAATGCAATGTCAGAACATTACAACAGATGTAATTTCACATTTTGGCGACACTTCCAATAAAATGACGACAAATATTATAGAGTTGCTAACGACACTCGATCCAGTAAACCCATCGTCGCAACTCCAATATACGAATTTGAAACGCATCAGTCTGTCCGAATATAACCATTAAAAGCACTTAACCAGAAAAGTACTGATAGTAGACTGTACACTATCTGAACCGTGCGTCAGGAAAAACATGTTTTTAGCTATTTGGTTGTTACTGTTCATTTCTGACTGTATCGCAGAATGGTACTCTAAAATACGAAGGAGGTAACATCGCTCCAGAGAAATGCTGTCGGCGGAGAAAGGAGGGCGTCCCAACCTAGAGGGTTGTGTTCTGCTTCCTTACACGAAGAAGCGTAACTCCTTAGTTGGAAAAGTTCCGCGAACCTTGCGAGCTAGTGCGCCCTCTCATGTTTCTGCATGCATTTCACTCGTGCATTCCTTTCAAAATTTTAGTAAAGATAATTCTGAATTCTCTATTGTGAGGGCACGTAGAAAATAAGACCTTACTATCCTATCAAAACACACTTTGTGTTCTGACAGAATTTTCGAAAGTTTTACTTCGCGCAGAGCGGAGCTCAGGGTGTGGGGAATAAGCTTTATATATAGCACCAGAAACCTGCACCCAAGTGTACTGAAAAGCGTTCGAAACGGATGCAGAGGTCTCAAGAATAGCTAGTCACTAGGATGTGATATGGGGTAGACCAGGTTATGAAGTATTCGCAGCCGATGATAAGACAAGTTGCAGTGGCCTTATTTCTTACACCGGTCTCCCAAAGTGTGCTCGATAATATTGGTATGAGTCTGTCAGACGGTGTTAAACCTTTTCGGCCTCCTGCAGCGTGCCTCGGATTAGTACAAACAAGGCAGCTGAGCCCTACTAGAGCACTTACCTTTTCCTGGAATAAAGCACGTGAGTGGCGCCCTCTTCAGATTAAGTATATAAGCTGCGGATGAGCGCCAAAAGCCTGTACAGTGTGTTTGCTTATGACATGTTCTTGTTATCTACAGACTTGGTGTCGCAGCGCTAGAATGCAGCTAATTCCTTCACAGAACGTAAGCGAAATATGTTGTTTATCTAGAGTGCATGTCTAACCGTCTCCGCTCTTCCTCATGCACAAAAATAATGACTTATTTGGATTGGACTTGACCTTGGTATCTAATGGCACTTGGGGTGGAGGTGAAAAGTTTGCTGAAGTACGCCGCCGTCTTCAGGGTGCAAATACTCTACAAATCTGCTGGTATTGCATGAACAGTGCAACTTCGCTCAAAGAAGCTATGCTACATTTTTACTATAGTTTAGAAACTGAATTTTCCACAATACACTAACTTGGGCGACGCCAAATTTAGTGGGATATCAAACATTTAGATAACCATTGAACAGTACATACCGCTTTTGTCTAACGTGAAGGTTTTTGAAACACTGATGCCTTGATTCACCAACCCCACACACTCTCAGCTTGTGGTGGCGAACCCCATGGGATACGATGACTAAATATTGCTGAAATCAAGGCAAATTACATTGATATAATTCAATTGGTTCAATTCGTGTAGCCATCCAATCATTGTCGACAAAATAGGTAATCCACGAACAGCCAAGCACGAAACCCTACTGTAGGAATGCAGTAAATCATTTGATTGGAGCAGCTGTAGTGGACCATGTTGCAGAACTCAGTCCTTCAGAGACTAGCGTTTATTCGGCAAAAACAGCAAAGCGAAAATCAAAGCATGTTTAACAAGCAAAACTACTCGATATAAATCGCAGATTCAAGTCTATAACTAAAGACCATTTTGAGTCGATGAGTTTCCTCTTTTGCTTCAGTTATACAAAAAACGATGAATCACTCGAATGCAAATCGGCCAATCCGAGCCCAGTAATCGAATTCGTCATGTCCTCCACTCATTGGCTGTCTGGCTCGCTTTGATCTGATACTACCATCACATCCTACTTTTTTCATGTTATTCTACCTCCGTATTGCTATGCACCCCGTACATCTTGCCACTCCGCGTCCTCTTCTCTGTATCTGAGGCCGTATTATCCTTGTGCCACTTTATCTGCTACACCAGCCCAATTCACATTGTTGTCGCCGTTGTCGTCTCAAATGCACTGGATTTCTACTGAACGTTTGACCTCCAACATTAATTTCGTATGACCTGGCACCAAGCCTCTCAGTCGCCACACATTTCGTCCACCGTCTCGATTATCGGGTAATGGTTGAACCCAAACTTCCTCCCACACGGTTAGCTCAGGTAGTACCCGTGCACCGCGGTAATAGTACCGTGTATACATGGTCCTTCTTCGTCTCAGCCTGTTCTGTAATCCTTCGCGCTGTCGCAAATCTGGGCACAAAATCGTGGCGTGCTTTATCAAAGTTCTAGTCATTTGGTTTTATAAGTTATGCACTGGGCTCAAAGCCATATTCCTTGAAGGAGTGTTGCGATTCTCCAGTAGCATGAGATACGGGCGCTCGCCATTTGCGCTAACCTTTGATACCAGTCCCTTGACCTGCTTCACTGCCGGGTCCGCCTTTCCATTCGTTTGACTGTGTTAGTTGCTGGTTTGCTGATCCAGGAATTTCCACTTGGTTGTGAACGCTTGGAACGGACCGCTGGTAAACAGGGGCCCACTGTCGGTGACAAGCTTCTGCGGTCTGCCTTGCCGAGCGAAATGATATTTGAGCTTGTTATTTACTGCCCCTGTGGTCGTAGTGGTGAGTAGATCGAGTTCAAAAAATCACTATGGCAGTCCACTGTGAATAAGTAATCTTTCCCCTTATCACTGAATAATTACACCGCCACCTTCTGCCATGGTCCGTCAGGGACATCTCGCAGCGTTATTGGTTCCATCGTCTAGCGGATTTCGCCTGAATGGCAGCCTCAAACTTCAATACTTGATGTTTTGTTTGACTCGTCATTATAGCCAAAAGACCTATTCTCTTGCTCAGTTAATGGTATAGTTGGCACCCAGGTGATCGTGATGAACATATTTCACCATTTCTCCTCGGAGCGATCACATAATCAGAATATGGCTTCCTCTGAACAGCAAACCATCATAAACGGAGAGTTCTTCCCAAAGAGTGAAGTAGGGTATTCGTTCCGTAGGCCGCCACTATTTTGTATTTAACCAGCCATTTAGAATAATGTCCTGCAAAGCTGAAAACATGGCATATTCCTCTGTGTGACGCCTTATTTCCTTTAGGCTACCTTCTGTCACTGCCAGAAGCCGTACTGAGTTTACTGTTTCGACCTCATCCGGATTATCTTCCGGTATCGGCAGTTGAGCTCATAACAGCGGATCCGCGATGAACATCTCTGGACCAGGCGTGTACATCATATCATTGTCTCACATTTGAATCCGGGTAAGTATAGGTAAAAGCGCCGAGGAATGACGTGCAGCGGTTTACTGGCTATTGACAAAAGCGGCTTCTGGTCGGTATACAACGTCGTCTTTCTCTTGAAATTGCAAACGTTAAATCGCTCCATGGTATAGACTACCGGAAACATCTCCTGCTCAGTCTGCGCATAACGCTGCTCGGTCACGGTGAGTGCTCCATAGCGGGAATCCAAAGGATTCTTAGTCTGAAAGAGAAAAGTATTATTCCGT